ACAGTGAATGTCACGGGTGACGAGGTGAAGAAGTTGGACGTTCTTTCTAATGATCTGGTCATCAATATGCTGCAGTCATCTTACAGCACCTGTATCCTGGTCACTGAAGAAAACAAAGAAGCCATTGTCATCCCGCCTGAGAAAAGGGTAGGCTTATTCTTTCACAAAATGCCACTAGGTGGCACTCAAACACAACTTGAATATGACTAAAGAATTGTTTAATTCTGTAGAAAAGTGGTGGAGTCCAACCAAAGATACTGATTTGTATAAATGCAGATTGAAATGAACAAATTATACATTTGTACTGAGCTAATGAATTTGATGATTTTGTTCCACTGTACATTGAAATATTAATGTTTGTTTCAGTATTTATCCAGGCTTGACAGTATGTATTCAAATTTATGAGTCCTACAGTACCTTTTACCTTATACATTTCCTCTCATGCAGGGTAAATATATTGTGTGTTTTGACCCACTTGATGGCTCCTCCAATATAGACTGCTTGGCACCTATAGGCACAATTTTTGCAATCTATAGAAAGGTAAGTGTACTTTCAAGACAATGGGCTTTATTTCATATGCTGGTAATAATAATAATAATAATAATTTCATTTATGATAATAATGCCATTAATAACGTATAAGCATTCTTTTTTGCATGATTATACTACAGGCCAAAATAACAAAATTGTTCTTCTTATTATTAACAACAATAAGCATATTTATTTCTGCATCAGAGGATTAGGTGGGAAATACTATTATTGTCTTTATATAATGTCTTTATATGGTATATATCATTAGGAATGTGAAGTGTTTATAGGAAGCTGTACCCATGGTTCACTGCGATAAGGGACCATGAAGAAAAATAAAATAAAACAAACTCTTTATAAACCTTAGGAAACTATATAAAAAGGCAATGACACAAAAATACATGAAAATGTACCATTGTGAAGGAATTGGAGGCACCAAAGAACGTAATAACTTGCCACTGCTCCTGTGTTAAAATCTCTTTTTGGGGGATTTATACTGTATAAATATTATCTGTGCTGACTAAATGAAGTCCATGAGTCTATGTACTGTAATGCCATCAAAAATGCAGTTTTCTAAGTTAATAATAATTTTTAAAAACTTAATTAACACTTAATTAAATACTTATTTAATACTTAATTCAAAACTTGCATTAATAATAATTAGAACAATGTTTATTAAGTCAGTGCACTGCTGAATGATGAAAGTGAAGCTCACAGGTGTGTAGGTTTGGACAGAGCAGCAACATACAAGAAAGAAAGTTTTTGATTAAATAATTTTAGATGTTAACACTTTTTCCACAATAAAGAGAAAATAACCTTTTCTCTTTATTGGCTGTGTTTTGAGGGAAATAATGGAAACCAAATTTGTAATGCTATTTATTCTTGCAAACCAGCAAAAAAGAAAATGTCATAGTAGACTAGGTAATAATTATTATAATTCATTAATTAATTGTATTGTCTCATAATCTACTTCATATTTGGAAGTGAAAGAGATGGATATTACAGCTCTAATCCGTTGTGTGCTCCACATACTGTTTAAGTAACAGTAATATTACTGTATTTTGTGTAGGTAAATCTCACACATTCAAAAACACTCAGTACTATATGTGGGCACAATGACAAATGGCAATGTTTCTTCCACACAGGAAGATCAGATCAATAAAGCGTTTGTATGTGCAACTGTGTGTCCATTTATTAGTACAAGAATACTTTGTTGTGATAATCCTTATCACTCAGGATTCAATATTTATATATTTATGTATACAGCAATATTATAAGTGATATATTATTATGTATAGATTATATATAAGATATGTAATATAAATGTATGTTTTTACTGTAGTGTAATAATACTGTATTATTGTACTGTAAGTTATTATACTGTACTATCAACTGTATATTATGGATAAATAATTTGCATTCACGTATTTATCACATTGCAGTGTGCAATGTGACTTACTTGGCACTCGGGCTCTCTTCTTAGACCACAGAAGACGAACCATCTGAGAAAGATGCCCTCCAGCCGGGCAGCAATATTGTGGCTGCGGGTTATGCCCTCTATGGCAGCGCCACTCTGGTTGCCCTCACCACTGGACAAGGGTTGAACTGCTTCATGCTGGATCCGGTGAGTACTTCCCTTCACCAGCTCAGGACAGGCTTACCGAGAATCACCCAATAATTACTGCTGCTCTTGCATTCCTGGTAAATGGTCTATATGTGAAAAGTAAAACATGTTTGTGTGATGAGCTATTGCAATACCTATTATATACTTAATATATATATATAAATTATTTCAATTTAAGTGCTTAACAAATAACACAGAAATAGTCCTGAATGAATTGTAAGTATCAAATCTCTGACTTGATGAAAGAACCATGCAATCAATTATTAGTAAGGGTCATGTATTAACAAGTTATTGAAACTTCTTTTCATGTATTACAGATTATTAGGGCTTTATACTTTAATTTTGTGCCCCTGTCCAATATTTATTAAAATAGGCCAACTAATATCTAATTATTAAGTAAAAAAATACAACGATTAAATGGTTAAAGTTGAATAATTTTTTAAAACATATTTAAATACATCAAAGGGAGTTTTGAAAATAATCCACTGGTATATCCTGATTAACACCCCGTGTCTTGACTTGCTAGGATGAATGAATGTTCAATAATCCTATAAAACATATTGCCAAATAAGTATAATTTAATAAAAGAATATTTATTACACCAAATAAATGAGTGGAAGACATCATTTGAGATGTGCCAATTTGGATGTCTGCAGCTGCAGTTTCATTAAACTAGAACACACCATTCATTCATTTTCATTTAACAGAAGGTATACACTATAAAGCCAATTGTCATAGAAATAGCAGGGCTAGAATGGCTATCTATTTGTAGATCTTTGGAAAAGAAACTGACAAATTGGCATAGGTTTCATGTTAGACAATTAAACACTCACATTCCAATAGCACCCATAAGGCTTTTCCATTAGCTATTTTTATGGGAAGTAGTGTTTGTCTCACAAAAATAAAACATTCAGAATGTAATCTTGTGTTTTTCTAAATTGCACAATTAGCTTTATTATAACTTATTTCATTTATTTAAGAACTGTGTAACTGTGTATAATTGTGCAAAGATGATTACATTTGGACTGTTTTCAGGCAGTGGGAGAATTTATTCTGGTGGAGAAAGATATGAAAATAAAGAAGAAAGGAAAGATTTACAGTCTCAATGAAGGCTATGCCATGTATTTTGACTCAGCAGTGACTGAATATTTGAAGAAAAAGAAATTTCCTGAGGTACAGTATGTCTTTACAAAAAAATATGTTTTTCAAATTCAAGCTTCATGTGAATTCACTGTTTATCTATGAATCATATTCAAAGTATTTTTAACTTTTTTTTCTGGGCACCAATGTGACTTGTTACAAAACTTATTATTTTATTTATTTAAGTGGTTTTGGACTTTACATTGATAGATCAATGTGTGAAATAGCAACTGATTGGGCAAATCAATGTAAATTTTCAAATAATCAAAACAATTATGCAATTTTTATACAGAAAAACGTATATTGGACTTTGCAGTTGTTATGTTCAGTTTTTAACCTACTGAAACTGTCATTTTCTCTGATATCTATTTTAATGTTCTTTACGTAACATCCAAAAATGAAAGAACCCAAATGTGTTTTAATGATAACTTTGCTGGAAAAAAAGAATGATAATAGGAAGATACTTACTAAGAACAAGCTGAGTAAACCCCTGATCTGGACACACCAACAAAACAGCTGATTGTTGTGGGATGCAGTGACCAAGCCAAATCCATGATCTAGTCATTTAACAATTTGCTAACTTTGTTGCACAAGTCTTGTCCTGTCTCAATACACTTCTGACACCTGACTCACAACGCCAACAAGCGATAGCATCCATCACCTCTCTGCTGTATACTGCAGTGTCAGCTTCCCTTTGAGCTTTGAGGTTTGAGCTGAATTAATTTATCTTCATGGTGTAATGCAAACATGAAGCTCAGGTGATAGCATGCGACTGCCAAGTGTCAGCCTTGTTTCTTTCTGCCTTGGGAAAGCTCACACAAATGAGGTACACAGAAGGAGAGAAACTTCTGCTGATTGACTTATCAATCAGCATGAGAGTATGAGATGAGTATGATAGGCTGGGGTAAATAAGGTAAAAGTGATTAAATTGATCATGATAAAATGATAATGATAAAATAATGATAACATTATTAATTAAATTAAAATAATGATAATGATAAAATACTAGTCAAGTTAACAAGTAAGCAACAAAGCATACAAACTTACAAATATAGACTTTAAGGAGTAAACAAGATTTATAGAGAGCTTGGCTTGGGAAGTTCTTTTCAAAGAAAGGCTTTTCTTTGAAAATAAGCCTTTAAGCCTTTCATTCAAATGACCTTTCTGCTTTTTTTCCCCTGCACTTTGGTTGAAACTTTTCTGTCTGCAAGTTTTTGATATTCTTTCCTCGGTTTTCATTTTTTCGAATGACACACATATGCTCTGCATCTCCTGTGGCACATGAAACTCCCCTGACTCCTTTGTTAAATCTTAATGAGCTTTTAATTCATGCAAAACATTAAGTTGAAGTTAAAACCCAGCAAACTCACCATTAGAAAAAGACTTAATGGTAAATGATAGAGAAAAGCAATCACAGGACACAAATGAAATCTATGAGAAAGCGTGTTTAAAACTGAGAACAGGAAGCACTTCTTTACCCAAAGGGTTGTGGGAGTGTGGATCAAGAAATGTTGTTGATGTGAATACCCTGGCTTCTTTCAAGAAAGAAATAGATGAGATTCTTCGATCAATTATTATCTACCATTTGGCTATGTGGGCCAAATGGCCTCCTCTTGTTCCTTACTGTACATATCCTTTTCCCTGCGTGTAGCTCTGTGTACCTCTCTTTCCAGTGATATCTCACATGATCACAGGACTTCTGCTATTAATGCAACACTGAAAATAAACACACCTACAGATTTCTCAAACTGAATAGACTTATATTAGCTGTTGGGCTTTTCACTGTGTCAATTTTACTGTATGTGTGCTATTACAAAATTGGAGACACATGACCCCTCTTTCTGAGTCAGGAACAAAATCTCATGACTTCATGGTCTTGCCTGTTGTGATTTTAGTTTTCCTCATTTCACCCTTTAACAAAAACCTTTTTGTATCCTTAGTGATTTTAAACTAATTTGACAAAATCAGCTGGTCTGCAAAACATTATAGCACTGACTGAAGAAAATAAACAAGGAGTTATCCATGTGTTAAAATGTTATTAGATATTAACCAACCCTAGTCAGGTTTTAAAACTTTGCTCTCTGTGTATTTTTCAATTTCAGTGTGGAAACTTTGAACTGATTAATGTTGTTTCACGTATGTTGACTGTTCAGCAAGAACTTATCAGGACTTTGTTTGATACAACAGCGTTGGGATTGAAACAACCATCACACCATCAGCAATTTTGATGAAAGGACAAATACATTAATACACGAATTGATTTTTTATGAGGCCAACTTTTAATATCCTAATAGTTATCCATAGTGAAATCAATGCCACTTAACTTACTCTCATATTTCTTACTTCACTCAAGGGTGTTGACCTGAGAACACCCTCATAGTTGTAACAGAATATTGAATCATTCAAGTTTTGGTTACTTGATAATTACAAAAAACTAATAATGCTAGACACTAGAGAGATAAATAAATTAGTCAACTCAGTATGACAGGCTTTTCTGAATTATCTGGTGATTTTCAATATTACAGTGAGAAATAGAAATATGAAGGACTCCTAGAAGCAATCGTGGAAGTATATGATACCTATAAAAATAGAAGCAACATTAATCAATACTAACATGCCTAAACACCGGGAATGCTGAATATGAGTAATATAAAAAATAATGGATTCATGTATATTCTTTTGTTGAACTGCAGGATGGAAGTGCACCCTATAGTTCTAGGTATGTGGGGTCTATGGTAGCTGATATTCATCGCACTCTTCTTCATGGGGGTATCTTTTTGTATCCAGCCAATGAGAAGAGTCCTAAAGGAAAGGTACAATACTTTATTATTTGCATATTATTGCATATTACATTTTGGATAATACCTAACTGTATAATTCTATATATAACTGTATACTTTCATTTTGTGAAAAAAAGCCCTTGATTTTAATAACATTCTGTACAAAATCAGAGCAGTATATGTCTTTTCAATATAATATCTATGCATTACTGTTTCTTCCTTTAAGTCAAGGATTTTGTCATTTAAGTTTATCTATGGTCTATTACCATGGTTCCGTTCACCATACTGCTCTTTTTCCTTTGGATCAGCCTTATTCTCATAATAGAGTGTTACACAACAGCAACATTTTCCTTTTACAACATGTTTGTGAAACACCTTTCTGTAAAAAAAAACATTTAGATAAATCTGACCCTTTTTATCTGAAATACCATTAAATAATTTTAGGTGAAATATCTTCCAAAATTACCTAGGATTAAAGCACAGAAATGCCATCCTAATTCCTACCACATTAACATTCTGCAACACTCAGCAGAAACTCATGATCTTGGCAGTGTTGCAATCAGAATTAACATCACGTCTTATGGGTAGTTAGACATTCATAAAGCATCACAGTGTTTCCTCTTGAAAACAGAACAGCCGGTTCGACTGGAATTTCAGTAACTGCCTGGGGTTCCACAAAGACAGAAATTTGTATTGTGTGATTTACACAGAGCCAGTATTTGAACGTTCTCTTATTTTTGCTATGGCTGATAGATATAAAATCAGACTCTTACCAAAGACAGAAGCTACAATATAGATTTCACCAGTTCAGTTTGACCTTTTTGCAGCTGTCAAAGGTGAACTTGCACTATCAAGCAAGCTTAGCGGTTTAGCTCTAGTGGAAAGACTAGTAACCCCCCCCCCCCAAACCACCTGTAGGCTCTCCTTTGGCACTAATTTGCACCCCCCTACCCTGGAAATAAATGATGACAATTAAATGATTAATGATTACAAATGATAAAGATAAGCTTTACCCAAGCAAACTACATCGTAATGAGTAAAAATCAAAGTGAAAATCGAATTCAAAACTGAAATAAACTGAATAAATGTTTAGGTGCCCTGTGGTCCTGGTGTTGTTGCTAAGTTATTGCTGTACTTTGGCTGTATAGTATAGAGGACATTAATGATAAACTGACTAATCAGTAACAGCAGAGAAGAAGGGGAGTAAACAGAAAATAGAAACAATAAAAGGTTAATTCCCAGCAGAAAAAGTAGAAAGAAGAACCATTTTGGCTGTTGAGCTTTCTTCAGATGTGAGAAAGATTCAGATTCTTCCTCAGATGTGAGGAAGGTAGCAGAGATATAAAGTATTGGAGAAAAAGGACAGAGCAAGTGTTTATGAGCACAGAGTGGGTGAGAAACAGTACCCAAACGATGGGGGGATTTCGAACAAAAAGACATCTCAACTTCTACTTTGAGAAGATCTCTTGTGCTCAGATTTATAAACTTGGAAGGAAAGCAGGCAAAACAAATAGAGCTGTCACAAAGTGAGGAAATGCTTTGGAAAGGTTGAGTGGAGATGGGATCAAAGGCAGATTCAATAGATTTATATGATCCTTGACCAAAGAGTGAAGTTTAGAGTTATCTAGGAGGCTAGAAACAAAGAAGAGGGCAGAAGGAGCAGTCGGGTGAAGGGTGAAGTGGCAGTTGGGAGCTGTGAGGAGGGTTCGTACAAGAGTGGGATGGGAAGATGGAGAGAGTGATGAAAACAGATCACCAATGTCAGAAGCAGGAGCTAAAGTCATGATAAGGAAGTTACTAGGGCTGTCACTGAAGGATTGAGAAGGCTATGGCAAGTTGGAAAGGATAAGATCACTTTATTGGCCATATACAATTTCTTGCAATAGGAATTTGTCTTTTGGCATCCTTCAACTTACTCTCCATGAGACACACAGGCAGGGAGAGAGAAGCTTGGGGTCGGAGCACAGGGTCAGCCATTTATACGGCACCCTTGGAGCAGTTGGGGTTAAGGGCCTTGCTCAGGGGCCCAACAGAGTAGGATTCCTCTTTCGGCTGCACGATTTGAACCGGCAACCTTCTAGCCACAGGCGCAGATCCATAGCCACAGTGCCACCGCTCTGCCCAAAAGGATGGCAAGAGTGCGACTGGGAGTTGAATTGCTTATGAAGATGGGAGATCACAAGGGAAAGATGGGAGGAGAGGATGGTACACATTCATTGTAGAGGTCCGCTTTTGACTTTTTTCACATTCTCGCGGCAGAATGCTGTTTTTCCTGTAGGCTAAGAGTAGAGTTGACAAAGGTCTGCTGAGCATAAAACATAAAAGGATGGAAACAGGTTAGAGTTCAGACATGGGAAGAAGTCGGGCAGCTGAGTCAACTGAAAGAACAGACAATTTCATAATAGAGGGGAGAACTGAAAGTGGGGGCAAGGATAAGGACAGAAGAAATGAGTAGAGAATCGGAAGGGCACAGAACATGAAGGGGTTTAGGGAGACACTAGAGAAAGGAGAAAGAGAACAAGGCACAATGGCATGCAAAATCTTTGAGGAAGATGAAGACAAGTTGTCAGCTGTGCTCTTGTGATAAGCTAATAACATTGACTTGTCTGTTTTTTTTCCTCTTGCTCCATTCTTTTTGTTGTGCACAGCTGAGGCTGCTGTATGAATGCAACCCTATCGCCTTCATCATAGAGCAGGCAGGTGGAGTAGCCACCACAGGGACGCAGAGGGTACTAGATGTGCAGCCAGAGTCCATCCACCAGCGTGTGCCCTTCATTGTTGGATCTCCAGAGGACGTGCAGGAGTACCTGACATGTGTACAGAAGCACCAAAAGAGCAGCTGATCCCTCCTGTCTCTGTTTACACAGAACACACTGTCCTTGTCCATGTGGTGCCTGAGGAGTGTGCATTCAGGGGCCACAAAAATGTTTCTCCTCAGAAGGAAGTATGTTTCTGGTGATTACCCCCTCCTTTTTGCCCAATCTCTTCCAATTATAAGAAAAAGCAAATAAAGGTGAATCTTACCATCATTACCTTGATTTAATTCTTAAAAAATGTCAAAATAATTTTAATGTCTACATTTAAGCAAAATGTTATCTGCTTAGAATGGCCAGTTCATTTTCTTCTAAATAAAATACAGAATAATTTGTATTCTGAGGAAGACTGCATTTGTCACTTTTTTTTTCATTAATTAAAATCTGTACACCACACCGACAAGTGTCTTTCTTTCATTTTGTATTCGTTTTTGTGAGTTTTGTTTTAGATACTCATACCGTTGTTTGTATGTTGAATTATAATAAAGACCAAAGCTTGTAATCAGACTGTTTAAGAATTTAGAGCAAAAATGTTGCTTTTATGTCACTGCAATCCACATGTAAAATGTTCCCTGATCCTAGATTTAAATATTTTAAATGTGTCTATAAACAGACAAATGGTAGAAAGCACACAAAGGCAGTCATCTTCTTTTTCTTGCCTTGAACATTTAAAATGTCTCCACTGCTTTAGTTCAGTTTGAGTTAAGTCTCTTCTGGGCTCAGATGAACAAACAGCTTAGATTCTCACACAGCATTTGGCACTCTGAAAATGTGTCAGTGTTTTCACCTTTCAGAGGGCAGATCTGTTTTTTTTTTCTTTCCTCTTTGTAGTAAACCCCTCCTGTGCTGGACAATAAATTGCTGTGTCAGCATGGAGCTGCTGGCAGTAGATAGGAAGCTTGTAGTAAGCACAGCCCCCTCTCCCCTCTGCTACATTCCTGTCCCTCTTGGAATGCCATCAGCTCTTTCACTTCAACCAGACCCTGCTTCCCGACCCCTCGGCCTTCATTTAAATATTCTAGCTCGTAAATATATCTACCTCGTCCCCCGGGCTCCAAGTCATGATCAATTCATATTGACTGAAATTGCTACTGGAATGTGATTTGGGGCTAGGACATGCCTGTCATTGCACTTTGAACTATTTTATGGGAATAACCTTTGCAACGCTCTGTGAAAACTAAAAATGTTGAACAAAAACATCTACCACCCCTACTGCAATCAATTTTTGAATTGATACTTGAGATCATTGGTTCAAACTTTAAATGTGGATTACAATAACTCACATGGTTCATGAACAAAAGATGTGACAGTAATAAGAAACTGACAAACAGTTCATTACTCCAACATACCTAAACACGAATAACAAGCACCAAAATGCTTGTGAAGATTGGGGTTAATAGGTATGCTATAAAAGGGGTTCCCAGTTCTGGTCCTGGATGGCCACATACCTGTAGGTTTTCTGTTCCAGTTCAGCTCTCGGTTACATAATTGAACCTTATTGTGACCTGTATAAAAGGATTTATTTTAACACTTAAACATGTTGGGGATTGCCTTTAAGCTATTGCATTTCTAAAGTAAAGTACTAAATGTGTACAGAAATAATAAAATGCAGATATTCCAAACAGACAACTTAGTGTTAAATTAAGGCATCAATTATGCAATGAAATTCAACTGGAATAAAAAGAGTCTCTTTATCCACGGAGATCTATCGAGTGGTTCACTTGTATACTTTACATTATTGTCAGTAATGGATGGTGCGAAATAACTATTGGTATCAAGTAAAGGTTTACAACATTGTGTTTCTTTTCTTCTCTTTTCAGCATGGAATAAACCTTTACTTGTTCCATATTGAGAAACTTGTGTTGATAACAGAAAAAGATGAAGAAATATGTTGACCAAATGAAGTTCAGACCATACCAGATCAAAGGAATAGTACATGAGATGAGATTTAAAATATCATAACTGTTGCATATTGAACACTAAAAGACAGAGTGAGAGTCCCAAACAGCATCAGAGCATGAAACCAAACTATTAGTAGTTACTATTATCTTCCAGTAAAGGCTTTAAAGGTAAGAGTCAATTCTTGCTGATACTGCACTAAAAAGTACATTTTAAAAAGCATGTTATATGTAACTCTGGTCACAGAGAATCAATTTAATAGGACATACAACCCAAAACACATAACTGTGTTTGACTGTATTGTTTAAAAAGACAGGAATATGTTAAATAAAATTAAACAATTAATTGAACAATAGAAGGACATTAAAAAGTTAAATTGTAATGTGCTTATTGTAACATGACTACTTAAAACCTATTTAAGCAGAAATTAACTGTCCGTTAAATAATAAAATCTGGCCCCAGTGCAGTAAAGCTATGCTTTTGTAACCGAGATCCAGTAAATTATTCAACGAAAAAATCTGATTACAAGAACTCTGGGCAAAGCATTTTCTTGCTTCAGCGTAATGCCTCTGAAACATAAACAACCAGCGTTGTCACAGAGTGGAATTTGATCTTGTGCCTAAAACAAGCAAAATGCTACAGCAACAACATTAACCAGAATATTACGGAAATCTCACCCCCACTCAAACGTTTAGCAACGTCTTCAGCTTTGACAAAAAATGGAGTTTCATTCTGCAAAACTGTTTAATTTGACAAGACAACACAGTACTATAAAAGAACTACCTAGTATGTTACTCACTTGCTTCTTTCCTGTTCTACATACAGTGGTTCACGGCACAAAACATGGGCTCCTATTTACTTTGTCACCTATTTAGAAACAGAAAATGATATATCTAAATATTATCAGAATACTCAATAAATTAACAACAGTTGGTTTAAGTATTAAGTATTGTGTAATTATTATCTGGCTTACCATTTAGAGAAAAAACAATTTACTATAGCATTAGGAAGCTGTTACTTGTAATGTAGTGGGACCTGGATATTTTAAGGATCCATGGCTGCTTAATTATGGCTTTTCCTTCCCTTACCAAAGAAATCAAGCAGCTTAAAATGAATACTCATACTATGGTGCAAAATCACATTAGTGTTCATCACAGCCTTTTCGATCTAAGTTTCTGAAATAAAGATTGATCATAATGTGAAAGTAGCAAAGTGATTAACAACATTTAAGAAATGATTAAATCTTGCTATACATTTGCTGATTAGGTGTTGGCTTTATTTACACACAGGAGAGGCTGTTAACACCAAACACAAAACTTTTAAAATAAGATAACGAGGAAACATTTCTTGTTGGCACTTAACAGCATCACTAGAATGTTAAACTCATCATTGAAGGTTTTTATTTTGGTCTATTTCTAGCTCTGCGGTTATATTTTTAGTAAATGGGCACATTGTCTGCACCTTTTGTGACTGAGCATACAACCATTTGTCAATGACTGTGTTTCACTGTATCTGAAAAAGTAAAGAAAGCATTTGTAAGTTTTAAGAGGTTAATTTTTTTAAAGAGGTTTAATGTGTCCACAGTTAACAATACAATTAACACAAAAATAAAAATTCCACATGTATCTGACCCTCAGTCTTACCTAATTGAAAGGCCAACACAAAACTCTGATGAAAAGAAAAAAATATGTTAATATATTTCAAATAGTTCACAGTTTTTATCCCTCCCAGCCATTACAGTGATCTTTCTCCCTGCATTCTTTCACAGGGATTTAAAGATTCCTACTCCAGAAAGACATCAGAAGTGCAAATTATCCTTAAAAACTACCTTAGCACCTCCCCACTGCTCTCAATAGTCGATTAAACACTTGCAAAATCTCTCCATTGACTTGGAGATTTCTGCTCTCCACACTTTCCCAAGGAGTTTGTTTTCGGAATTTCCATATCTTTGGTGCCTCATTCTCACTCCCTTCTATTCATTCTCTGTTGGTGTTTTGCTCTCTTTACCTTGAAGTTCCTATTTTTCTTCTTTTTGTAGAATGAAATTAACCTCTGCTTTTTACCTTGAATCAATACACTGTTTCATTAAAACAAACTGTACACATTGCATAGATCCTAATATGATCATTTCAAAAGAAATGCCTAAAATTGGTTAATGTTAATCAAATGTTTAATATTTAATGTTTAAAAGGAATTTAATTTATTAATCACTTGCTGTTTGAGTCCTATTGCCTAGAGAAGGTTAAGGAAAGGACATCGCAAGTTTCATACCAGGAATTTCCACCTCTTGCAATGAGCTAACCAGTTTCAATTAGACCCTCAGAAAATGACAGTTCACCTTCACATCTTGCTCAGATTCTGGTAGTTCATGGGGCTGAATAATACAAACTTGAAATTAGATCAAAATAGGCTTGCCCACCAAATTTAAAGATGGCTATATCTGGGAGAAAGACATGCTCATTACACATTGACAAAAATGGATTACTGTTTCCCACAGATGTCTCTACACAGTACTACACACAATAATCCTAGAATGTCAGGTGGGTAGCTGCGTCAGCATGCGTAGGCTGCAAAGGAACAAGTAATAGGTTTATTCCATGCTGAAAAAAAGAAGAAAGAGAACACAACGTTTC